GGGATCCTGTCACATATCCTGTCACATGTCCTGTCAGGGATCCTGTCACATGGCCTATCAGGGATCCTGTCACATGTCCTGTCACATGTCCTGCCAGGGATCCTGTCACCTGTCCTGTCAGGGATCCTGTCACATGTCCTGTCATATGTCCTGCAAGGGATCCTGTCACATATCTTGTTAGGGATTTTGTTGTGTTATCGTGCCGACTACACCACGTGTCAGGGCTGGGGTCTGTTCATTTGTAGGAAGTGAGTTCCCCACCAGGGTAAAGAAGGAACATGAAACCAGCCATCAGCAAAAGAGCAGTAGCAGAGCAAGCCAGCCAGAGCTTCTTGTCTTTATTCCTTCAGCCCTTATATTGTCATTATCAGACATAACAGACATGACATCACGGTGTCTTGACATGACCATTTTGCACATGCATAGTTGTCTATGCTGGCATCCTAACCTGACTGTATCTCATTATGTGCTTGCCTCTGACAGTGGGGTCCAAGTCCTCAGGAGTCCTTAAATGCCCGGGCTTTGACTCCTCTCACGACAGCTCCCTACACACCTGTATACACTGTGTGTCTGTACAGACGAAAGGGCACTTGGTGGGAAATCAGAACACAGGACTGGAATCCTGGCCCCACTGTGCCCTCATTGGTGGTCACAGCCACCATGCTTTGGAATTCGGGGCAGAGGCCCAACACTTCCTGCCACAGAGGGCTGTCTGAGGGCCACATGATGACCCAAGTGTGATGGCCCTGAGCACAGCAATGGTTCCTGGTCAGGACACAGGTGGGGACAGTGAACCCCAGCGTGGGGGTCCCCACATGCTGTGCATGTGGATGGTGAGCCCAGGTGTAGAAATTGGATGTGTCTGTGTGTACGCAGTGTGATTCATGTCTGCCCTGCTCCTGCTGCTGCTGCTTACCTGTATTTTACAGCCTGTCTTGACAGCTGGAAGTATTTGGCACTAGTTTCACACTCATTCTGTGAGTGGAACCTTTTCCTGCATGCAGCTCCCTGGGCCTCTGCCTTGTTCCTCTGGCATCACTGATAGAGAGCTCAGACAGAGGTACCCTTTGTGGTGTTCATTTTATTTGGAAACCTTCAGTTTGAAAAAGCAAAACAGAGGCCATCCACACATTAAGCTTGAAACTGTCAGCCTTTATTGTTTCTTACAGCCCCTCTCTGGGGCCTGCTGAGCCCCGGGAACACATGGGCCCACTCAGCTACCCGTGAGCCCTGGAAACCACTCTCCCCAAATCTCATTCCTGAAGCCAGTGGCCTCCCTGCTCAGGTCCAGGTGAGCTGGAGACCTTCGAGGCCTTGGGCACCAGGTCTGAACCTCAATGGGCCTAGTGTTTCTGGCTCCTTTCACTACATTAATTCTGTTCAGTTCACTTGCTCATGGAGAACAAAGTAAACTTGGCAGTCATAGATATCTGTTTAGTGTTTCATGCCGGCAAGCACACCCGGAAGACTTTCCTTGGGGGTAATTTACAAGGAATTGTTTATCCCATTTCTTCCAGTTTTAGAGACCGCTTGGGGTAGCAGATTGTTTCCAAAACGGCACAGAAATTCATCCAGTGAGACTGCGGCTGAGAGACAGTGCTTCTCCGGATGCTTCTCTCAGGAAAGAGCCGGGGGCTTGGGCTGCTACCTCAGTGACAGGTCCTGCTTGTACCACAGCTGTGTTGAGCAAGTTGGGTGGGTCCCTGAGCTGACATGCAGTTGCCCTTGGGTGAGAGTTTCCCAACAGTGAGGAATGTGCAGAAAAGCTTCCCTTAAGTCCTAGCCAATGCTCCAGATATCCAGTATGGTCCCGAGCCACTTAGGGTGCCGGCTATACTCAGAGCACTCAGTGTCTCCCCAGTGCCTGCCTCTCCCGGGGTGCATCTCTGCAGCGGTCACCCAGCTGACCTGCATAGTCTCATCAACCCCTTCCCCAGCTGGAATGTTGCCTCTGTCCAACAAGATGCCTCCACTTTTCTGCTTTGTTGCTTTTTCATTCTCTTTTAAAGCCCTCTTGCCCACTATGTGTGCTTTAGGATGCATTTCAAATAGCCTTTCTCAGGGATGTGCTGGTCGGTGTTCAGCAACAGGCTCTCTGATGGGAAGGGAGGGTAGGAGGCTTGGATCTTGGCATTTGTTGGTTTCCATGTCATAAATACTTCAGGTGGCTGATTCAAGCTGCCAGCATGAGGGCTTTCAATGGTAAGAGCCCGCGATGGCTAAGTATTTCCAGTATGCAGATACAGTAGGCATTAATTGCCTTGGAGCCTACATAATAGTAGGAAGTACTGAGTTCCGAGTGGTTATTACCTTTGTTTTTAGTGTAACTTATTTAGGTTTGAATTTATGTAATCTGATATTTAATGATGACTGTGTTTAACAACTGCCTCTTAAAATTCCTGCAAACTGAACAATTGCTACTTCCTCCCAAGCTAGGAGAGGCTGAGCCAGCCAGCTGCAGCAACCCGCTGCTCCCCGGTCCACCTTCTCCTTCCTAAAGCCATCCACGCTCCGCTGGTGGTGGTAACACGCCTGTCTCTGAGCCCGAGGAATGCTTGCTGTCCATGCAGGCTTTGGATGAGACAGATACAGCTGGAATCCTGTAGTCTCTACTCCTAGGTGTATGGTCAGGCTGGCTGCTTGGTTTGTGGATCCTAGTGCAAGATTAAAATGACAGGCCCTTGGTTCAAAGACAAGGAGAAAGGGCTGATAAAACAGCTGCTAAAAAAGAAAGCCTTCCCTTTCTTCGGTGGTCTCTATCTAACACAACTTCAAATAGCGTTTTCTTATTTTCTACTTAATGTCTTTACTTGGAAAGACTGCTTTAGAAATTTAAATTATTAGCCCGAGTTTTACCTGCACTCTTTGTATTGTCAGCACTGGCATTAAATGCAAGTGTAAGAGCATTTAACTCCTGCAAGGGATGAAGTCATCATTGTGCATGCACCATCATCCCACTGATTCAAATGCAAAACACAGAATCAAACATAAAATGACTAGGAATTTCAGGACAGACAGCAGGGCAGTAAGCCAGACGTGGGGCCTTTCTTTGTACACAGAGTTTGCACACCTGGTGTGCAGTACTGGACAGATCTCTCATGTTAGCTGATTCTCAGTGTACTCATCTGTGGGAGAGATGGTGCTGACTATGTCACTTGTCACTTGGAAGGTTGAGAGCTGAAGACACTGATCCAGTGTGGTCCAGAACAGAATGCCCGGCATGCTGTTTGCGCTCAGTTAATCAGAGGCACTGTTCTTAGAAGAATGACTGTGACTTAGGAAATTCTCCTGTGGAGGCTCCAGGGCCTTCTGTACAGTGTCACCATTTGGCCCCTTGACCCACTTGCCTTCCGCTGTTGTGAACTCTTTGCAGGTAGAGATTAGCTCTGTCACCACCACGTTCCCTGCAGTGCTTCCTGCAAAGTCGTGTACATTCCTGGCACCCAGTAGCGCCTGTGACCTTTGTCTCTGTGTGATTTGTTCTTTTTCACAGTGAGCATCTGTGTCAATATGGTGACCTCACACGAGGCTTGTTAACGTTCTCGGGAAGAAGACGAGTATAGACTTAGGCTTTTCCAGGAGTCCACTGTAAACATGGGGAGGTGAGGGAAGCACGTGAGTCCGGCTGTTTCGGTTTCAGGAAAGTGGCTGCTCCGCGTCTCTTCAGGGGGACTTCACCAGGGAAGGGATGAGTTCCAAGCCCCAGCTGAGTAACAGAGGCCCCGGGGGTGTTAACTCTGCCCACAGTAATCTGTGCCTCTGCTATCTTCTTCTATACTTGCTTTCTGTTCTGTACAGTTAGGACAGTATTGTAGTAACGTTTCTTCCCTCTAATTGGTTACGTGTGTAAGTTTACTTTCCAGCAAATTATGAGATCCTCGTGGGCTGTGAGATGCCAGTCTACTTCTCTTGAATCCAGCGGAAAGCACAGTCTAGGCACATGGCAAGCAACACACTCTACAGAACCCTGGTCCTGGGTCAGACTCCCTGGCTCACTGGGGAGCTGAACGGGAACTGTAACCGTCTCTTGTAACAGAGTCCTCTGAGCACACATCCAGCGGCAGGGTCCCGCCTTGTGTTTTCGGTCAAGGGCCTTCCTTCACTGTGCTCTTTCCCAGAGTCTCCCAGACACTCAGAGCACTGACCCCTCACAGCCCTTGCCCCGGGAACTTGGGAGACCACGTAGCTGCGGCCTTGACTGGTTTGAAAGATGATCTGTTAACAAGCCTTTCGTGCCAGTGTCAATAAGCCACAGAGCATCACCGGACGGATTCATGTGCACAGACTCTGCAGCTGGCAGAGACTTACAGAAAGCAGCTCGCTGCCTGGCATTGGCCTTTCCTGTTCTGGGGACATCAGGCACCCTGAGCCACTGTGGCAGGAAGTTCACTACTTTTAGTGAGCACCGAATTCTCCAAGACATTACAGTAAAACAAAGTAAAACACCATCCAGTTGTTGCTTTAGTTCTTTTTTCCACAGGATTATTCCAAGGGATAAAAACATAAAGCCAATTTGCTCACTCACGCCTGCCAACGTCTACCCTAAGTAGATGTAGTGTTGTAGAGCTGACACAGCCCGACTTTCTGGTCCCCGTGGGCTGGTACCTGACATTTGTGTTAAAAATGACATTGCTCAAGTGACCAAAGGTTTAAACATTATCTGCCTTTCAGATATAATAAATATCGGTTATCCCAATGCCATGTAACATATGAAGACTAATAGACAAGGAAGACAGATATTTTCTGAAAAAGGGGCACTGAACTTACTTGGCTACGTGGAAAGTGTAGTTATTTTGGTGAGAATATTTAATTGATCATTCTCCATGGCTGGTAAAAACACGGTTACAACTTTATTAGCAGTTACCGATATTGCCCCAGACTTAAGATCACCGGATTGTGCCACAGATGCTGAACAGTGTTCCCATTAAACTGATTTCATGGATGTTTTCATCCCTTAGCCATATGGATTTGGAATTAGTTCTGAGATTACTTTAAAAGAAGGACGTTGGTGATAACTCTTGTTACTCGACATCGCCTGTGTTTGTAGAAGACAGAGTTCATCAGGTTGTTGGCAAAAAAACCAAAAGTGTGCGAATGGGACGTGTCGAGGACTCCAGAATGGTGAAATCATCCTCAGTGAGTTTGTCCTCTCTGCAGGTAATTGCTCTGGCAGAAGCAGTTGAGGAAAACCAAGCCAATCTGTTGCAGTCGTTCGCCAGGCTGAAAAGTGCCACCCACCTGGTGATTCTGCTGGTTGGGCTGTGGCAGAAGCTCAGCCCCGACCAGGTCGCTCTTCTGGAGGCAGCATTTCTGCCACTTCAGGAGAACGCGCAGGAGTTGGTAAGGACCCACAGGCCTGCCTGGGGAGCAGCCAGGGTTATTGAAAAGATTTCGATCCTGGGACGATACCGCACGGCTGTCTGTGCTTTCTAGGGTAACGCAGAAATGCTGCATTCAAACATGCTGCCTTCCTTTTCTTTAAGCCAGAACAAAATGTCACACGAAGGCCTTTCTTTGTAGAGCTGCCTTAAATACAGGTATAGAGTACGTTCTTACGCGATATCGCGTCTGGTTTTATGTGCCTGGCTGTCGCTCAGCGGCCAGGCGAGCAGTCGTTTGCTGGCTGGAGAGGGGCGGTAAGCCTTCGGATTGGCCGATCCCTTCCTGCTCCGCCAGAAACAAACAGTTCAGCCGTTGTCATTTGCTCGGTGTTCTTACACATGAGGGTCACTGCCAAGGTCAGAGAGCACTGAGATCCCCAGGGGAACAGTGGCGGGGCTGGTTCCTTGTGTTCACAGCGTGCTTGGTAGTAGTTTAAAGCTCTTTACTCTCCACCCTAAAACAGGCAGTTGAGGAGGAGAAAGGGGAAAATGAGGGTGGTATTTGGATTTTTCATGGGAAGATCATTTAAATAAAACCATCATAGGTCCTTTGAGTCATAGAGATCTATGTGGCCACCCGCTGCCATTCTGGATTATTTTTTGGGTACTTTGTGTACCAAGAAATAATACCTTGGAAATTAGAGACCGTTGAACTTAGATTGTTGTACTGGAGAAAACCATTTCAAGGGAAGAAAATGTTTCAAATCCATTTTAAATCTAGATGTGAGAACATGTACTAAAAATAATAGTACTAAAACATTTTTCAAGTTCTTAATAGGCGCTATTTTTATTATTTCACAAGAATTGTCTCATTTGATTTTAGGTAGTAAAGACAGTCACAGTTCTGATTTATCTCCATTTGCACACGGCAGAATTTAGGATCTGGTAGTTTATATTTTGGAAAGTAGTAGTAGAGCCAGTATTCTGACACAGGTCTGTGTCTTTCCAAAGCACGTATTTCTATTTTTTATACACACTTAATGTGAACTTGGGCAACTGAGCTGCTCCTCCTGGGGCCATGGGCGTTCTGAGCTTACCAGGCCGAGTGAGGATGGAGCTGATTTCATGGATGTTTTCATCCCTTAGCCGTATGGATTTGGAATTAGTTCTGAGATTACTTTAAAAGAAGGACGTTGGTGATAACTCTTTTGTTACTCGACATCGCCTGTGTTTGTAGAAGACAGAGTTCATCAGGTTGTTGGCAAAAAAACCATGTGGGGAGTGGGGCGTGCGTATTGCACAGCTCCCCTTCAGCCTGCGAGTCTCATTGCTTCTCACTTACAGAGCATCAATTCCAAGGTGAAATTGTTAAGCATTTCGAGATGGTGACCGAACATTAAGTCAGGCAGGAAGCCCTTCCAGCACAGGGACCCATGCGACTGCACAGTTCCAGGTCAGGAGCCGTCCCCGAGGTATGCGGAACTTCAGCAAATAAAGGTTCTACATGTAGGAACCATGCGACTACAGTTCCAGGTCAGGAGCCGTCCCCGAGGTATGCGGAACTTCAGCAAATAAAGGTTCTACATGTAGGAGCTGGTTCCCAGACAGACTGCGGTCTCTCTCACACTAGAGATCACGAAGAGCAGCCTCACCCCCCGGGAGCTGTGAGTGGGCTCACCTCTCAGAGCAGGGTCATCAGAGACAAGACATTTGCTAAAAACAGAAGAATGAATCAAAAAAGACGTTGCAGTACTCCTGGTTATGAGCTTCGCCTTTAGGTTGTGGTATTCACTGTAGACGCACACTGTTGAGACAGCTTATATGTCTTGTGAAAAAAAAAGAATTCTTCATTCTTTAGGACGGCGCACACAGTACGCAGTTCTGACATGCTGGTCCCTCCCACCCCACCGTGCCTTCAGCCCTCACAAATAAATGCTATGTGAAGAGTGCCCCACTGGGACGTGAAAGTGGAATATGCAGACCTGCAGTCACAGACCTGCAGTCTCGGAAGGAAGGCAAGGCAGGGATGAGAGTTGTCTCTTCCCAGGATGTTGGAAAGGTACCCATGCTGAAGTCACTGTGAAACCACAGAAATCTGCACGTAATCCAGACGGCTTGGGGGCGGGTAGACGGGGGAGCACGTGTGTGGGTGGGGAGAACGTTTGACGTGTGGACGGCGTTTTCAGGAGAGACTCAGCTCGAGGTCAGATGTCCCCATGGTACTGAGGGAAGAAAATGCTCACAAGATATTTTATTGTATTTACACTTCAGCAGCTGTGCATAATGATCGGTTGGCTGTTAGTTAGGTGACATAGGCAGACTAAATGTAACAGTAAAACCTGGAACGTTTTCTCCCTAATGGTATCAGATTCACAAAGCCGAAATATTTAGAATTTAGTATTGCAAAGACTGGTAATACTCTTTGTACCACATTATCAGTATTTCATTAAATATCATTGCATTTGGAACGGGAGCATTGCTTCCTTTCATCTGTCTCTTTAATAGTGCTTTTCCATTTTTGGTTTTAGGGGTTTTGGGGGGCTGTATTGGGACAAGTAAATGCTGACTCTGCAGACTATTGCATGTTTTAAGGTGCTGAAACTTAGATATGCCACATGTGTTTTTGTACGGATACCCACTCCCTTTCCCTGCAAGAGAAACATTAAATATTCCACTTGGTATCTTCCGAAAGAGCTCCTGAACTTAGTTCCAGCAGTGGATGTGGTATTCTTAGAATCACTGCTAGCATCTTCCTGTGATGGTGAGGTTTTGCCCAAAATAGTATTTATCACAGTATATATCTCTTTACATATATTCTTAAATTTTGTGTATTTATTGAATGGTGGTGCTGCAGAATCAACCCAGGGCCCTCATGCATGCTAAGTCCAAATTCTACTGCTCATCTATTCCCCTAAGAATTATTTTCCTACTTTTCGTATTTCAGAGTATTTGAATCTCCAGTACAGAATTTAAACAACTTGTACTGACCTCTGCCTACTTGAAGCTGTATAGAAAATACTGTGTCTCTTACACAGTGTCAGTGAAGGCTGTTGCTGGCGGAGTCTGTGAGTGTGTGTGATTTAGGTGCGTCCCTCCCATGGTGCTGCACAGAAGCTGACAGCTGTAAACCTTCTGTACTTCAGGACTAGCCTAGTAGCACAGATCTTTCACCTAGCCATTCATTCATGCAGTGGGGACTTGCAGAGCAATGTTTTAGGCAGCGTTTACACACACAGCACACCTCAGAAAGCAGACTGAGATCCCGTCCTTTATGATCTAACCTCAACATTGCTGGTAAACTTTCTAGTCTTGTGCTGTTTGATATGGTACACACTTGACACTCGAAATTAGGATAAACTGAAGTGAAATAAAATGAGAAGTAGGATTTCATCGGCTGCATTTCAGCTTTACATAGTCACGTGTGCTGAGTGATTACCATGTCAGACAGCCAGATTCTCAGCATTTCGGCCTCTGTTGCCCAACACGGCCGGCATCAGGAGGATAGGGGTTTCTCATTGTGTTCACCCGGGCACATCTTGATCCCTGAGAGCAGCAGGCACTGACATGAAGTCCTTCCACGGTGTTTGCCTCAGCAGCCCTTTTCTTGTATCCTAGGGTCAGCCTGGTCCTCTGTGCAAACCCAGATACTCTCTCAGGAACAACAGACTTCCCTGGGGGTCTCCCCAACACCAGGGAAAGCAAGAGGCTGGTGCAGGGGCCCCACCACCACTTTGCTGTGGTCTGGAACATCTCCCAGGGTGGTGAGGGCTCGGCCCCAGTCTGTGGTACTAGCAGGGGTCGGGAACCTAAGGGAGGCGGAGTCTAGTGGGAGGAAGTGAGGTCATGGGGGCACGTGTAGTGGGAGAACGTGAGGTCACTGGCCCATGATATCAGGACCCTGTCCCTTTTTATTTTTTGTAGTGGTGGAGATTGAACCCAGGGCCTCAACTCTGCTGGGCAAGTGCTTACCACTGAGCTAAATCCATAGCTCAATCTGTCTCTTTAATAGTGCTTTTCCATTTTTGGTTTTAGGGGTTTTGGGGGGCTGTATTGGGACAAGTAAATGCTGACTCTGCAGACTATTGCATGTTTTAAGGTGCTGAAACTTAGATATGCCACATGTGTTTTTGTACGGATACCCACTCCCTTTCACTGCAAGAGAAACATTAAATATTCCACTTGGTATCTTCCGAAAGAGCTCCTGAACTTAGTTCCAGCAGTGGATGTGGTATTCTTAGAATCACTGCTAGCATCTTCCTGTGATGGTGAGGTTTTGCCCAAAATAGTATTTATCACAGTATATATCTCTTTACATATATTCTTAAATTTTGTGTATTTATTGAATGGTGGTGCTGCAGAATCAACCCAGGGCCCTCATGCATGCTAAGTCCAAATTCTACTGCTCATCTATTCCCCTAAGAATTATTTTCCTACTTTTCGTATTTCAGAGTATTTGAATCTCCAGTACAGAATTTAAACAACTTGTACTGACCTCTGCCTACTTGAAGCTGTATAGAAAATACTGTGTCTCGTACACAGTGTCAGTGAAGGCTGTTGCTGGCGGAGTCTGTGAGTGTGTGTGATTTAGGTGCGTCCCTCCCATGGTGCTGCACAGAAGCTGACAGCTGTAAACCTTCTGTACTTCAGGACTAGCCTAGTAGCACAGATCTTTCACCCAGCCATTCATTCATGCAGTGGGGACTTGCGGAGCAATGTTTTAGGCAGCGTTTACACACACAGCACACCTCAGAAAACAGACTGAGATCCCGTCCTTTATGATCTAACCTCAACATTGCTGGTAAACTTTCTAGTCTTGTGCTGTTTGATATGGTGCACACTTGACACGCGAAATTTGGATAAATTGAAGTGAAATAAAATGAGAAGTAGGATTTCATCGGCTGCATTTCAGCTTTACGTAGTCACGTGTGCTGAGTGATTACCATGTCGGGCAGCCAGATTCTCAGCATTTCGGCCTCTGTTGCCCAACACGGCCGGCATCAGGAGGATAGGGGTTTCTCATTGTGTTCACCCGGGCACATCTTGATCCCTGAGAGCAGCAGGCACTGACATGAAGTCCTTCCATGGTGTTTGCCTCAGCAGCCCTTTTCTTGTATCCTAGGGTCAGCCTGGTCCTCTGTGCAAACCCAGATACTCTCTCAGGAACAACAGACTTCCCTGGAGGTCTCCCCAACACCAGGGAAAGCAAGAGGCTGGTGCAGGGGCCCCACCACCACTTTGCTGTGGTCTGGAACATCTCCCAGGGTGATGAGGGCTCGGCCCCAGTCTGTGGTACTAGCAGGGGTCGGGAACCTAAGGGAGGCGGAGTCTAGTGGGAGGAAGTGAGGTCATGGGGGCACGTGTAGTGGGAGAACGTGAGGTCACTGGCCCATGATATCAGGACCCTGTCCCTTTTTATTTTTTGTAGTGGTGGAGATTGAACCCAGGGCCTCAACTCTGCTGGGCAAGTGCTTACCACTGAGCTAAATCCATAGCTCCTTTTTTTTTGAGACTGGGTCTAGTTAAATTTCTCAGGCTGGCTCAAACTTCCAAGTTTCAGCCTCCCACACAGCTGGGATTACTACATGTAATACCAAGCTCAACTCCCTGTCCCTTTCCTCTGGCTCTGGCTTCCCAGCTTCTGTGACACAGGCAGCTCCGTGGCCATTGTCCCCACATGATGCACTGCTTCATCAGGGTCCAAAGTCAAAGGGCCAAGTGGCCGTGGACTGAAACCTCTGCAGCCAGGAGCCAAAGAAACCTTTCCTTCTTATGTGTTGAGTGCCCCAGATATTCTGTCACAGCGACAGAAAGCTGACCAGGGCACCCTTTATACGGCCGTGGGAGACCTTGCACTCATTGTGGATCAGCCCATTGAACCTGCACATGGCCCCGGAGTCTTTCAGAAGGCACCGTTCCAGGCAGTCGCTTCATTTAGAGTTGGTGCGTGGATGAATACTCAGCCCTTCCTGGTCTCTGTTCAGACCTGCTTCTCATTATCACAGTGCACAGCTTAGTTGAGGATTTTTCACCTGGTGATGGCAGTGAACAAGGAGGAATGGAGGAATGGTACCAGGATCTCCAGATGGGCCCTGTCGGACTTCTGTCTGTTGTCCACCATGATCCCTGGACGTCACCCGTGACAGAAGAAACCACACACTGTTTGGGACCTGGTTGCGTAGAGTCTGGATTTGGAAGGAATATTGGCAGAGTGCACAGCAGTGGGCACGCTTGATATTATTTGTGCATTTAAAAGAGTCTGAGTGAAGAATCGAAGCATCTCTTTTCTACTATGCCCTTAATTTTTTTTGTTTAAATAAGGTGAAATTTAAATAGATATAACTAAGTAAGTAGAATTCAAGCAAGCAACAGTGAGGAAAATAATGATCATCTTCCCCATAATGCCTGTGTATT